ACCGGCAAAAAAAAAAGTTCTAGATCTTCAAGTCCACCTCTTTGTTTGACTCCTCTGAGTGTTCGGCTCAGATATAACCTATTTCTTTCATATTCTTCTCAGAGATTTCACACTTACAACTATCCAGCGGTGAGAATAGTTGAGCAGGAGTTATCTCAATTGGATGCACTTTATTCTGAGCCAACCATAGTAAAGAGGTTGCCAGTCTTGCCTTCTGTGGGTCATTCTCAAAGCTTTCTCATAAGGTCAAGATAAACAGTACACAGCATGACCAAGAGGTCTCTGCCTATACCTCATGTGACCCCTGTTATTAGCTGCTGCATGTGCAGCTCCAACAGAAGAGAGAGACAATGAGCCATGCAGACATGCCGGGGAGGAGGTACAGGGCTTGCTTCAGAGGGACAATATTTTGCTTTGTGAGTTTTTGTTCCATCAGTCCATAGTTAGCTCATTGTGAAAAACTGACAACTGTAATTTGTGCCTGTTTAGAGAGGCTAAAAAATATAAGAGAAAGTCTCCGATTCAAACTTCATCTTCTGTTTAACAACCACACACACCAAAATGTAAAGGTTTTTATGACTCTCCAGAGTCCTTTCCTAGATGATAAATCAGCTCAGACCAGGATGTGTTAGGTAGAACACTGGTCTGATATTGCAAAACAAGGGATTGGAGAAGGATGGTTAATAATAGAGACAGCTAACCTGCTTCAGAAAACTCTCCTCGGCTCTCTTGGAACATGTCCCTCATAGAGTTCGTAACTACTGAAAATACTATTCACTGTGACTTGAACGTGCTCATTTCAGATTAGTTGCACTGACAGCATTTTATTCTTTTTCAAGTGCACTCCACAAAAAGTATTATCAACAATATACACAAACCAGTTAAAATATCCTGGTTTAGTATTATAGATTCTAATTCATATTGTTTTTAAAAAGCTCAATATTCAGACATATTCTCCAAACAATGCAGAAAAGAAATATAATTGTTTACAAAATGGCTGTGATTCATAAACATGCTAAAATGACTAAAGATTTTGCTAATGTATTGCGTGTATATTGTTCCATTTTGAAAATGCAATTCATCACAATGTGAGTATTATGGAAAGATGATTTGAATGTTGATTCTATACTTATCCCCTAGTCTAGACCCCATAGCTAGAAATGTAGAGTGGGTTGACACTGTTCTCCAAAGTATTGGTTCACTCTGTCTTCTGTGAGAGCCCTTAGATTCAATGGGAAAAGTGAAACAAAATTCTTAGGTGTCTTTCCCTCATATCCAGGATTCCAGAGTTGACACCTATGTCATCTCTTGCATTGTCCTTCTTGTGTATCTTCTATAGGCTTTGATAAACCTCCAGTCTTGTATGAAAGAAAAGTAATTTTCAAGAGGATGAATGAGCCAGTTAAAGAGTAGCAACTCCATGTAGAGAACATACTGCATTTCATAAGCAAACCAAATGCTTCTTTAATATTCTGTCCACATTCTTAAATTTTCCTATTCTTTATATTTAATTATTGGACATATGCTCTTCATCACAGCTTTAAAATGCCAGGAAAAAAATCCATTTTATATAATTAGCAAAAGCTTTTAGTCCAGATTAATGAGAAGTCTGGTATCCGTTGTTGTGAATCCAGTAGACTCTTGAACAGCACTTTGACTGCTCCTCAATCCTGTGCTAATCCTAATTCTCTTGTTTTACTTCTCAATGTTATAATGCTTCCTATGTATATTATATTAAAATGAACACAGATAAATGGAAGTCAGCTTTTATTTCTCCATGTTTTACTTGAATAAAACAACAAGACTTGGTATTACATGCTACTCCCACTCTCCTTTTGTAAATGTGGAAAATAAAATCCCAGAGGATCCAAGGTCATACAGCAAGGTTGTGTATCCAGAGAGCCCAGTGATGTTGTTGCTAGTTTAGATCGTGGGGTTTGCTCCTTATCCATGGACACCAAGTGAACTCCAGCAAACTTCTGTCATTTGAACAGCAGTAGCCATAAGTAACAGAGGGAAGGCATTTAGGAAATAATTATGTTGCTTTTACTGAAGTATTTTGATGCTTCTGTGTCTATCTAGATTTCTTGACTCATAAACATAATTTTTATTTTCTGGCATGGCCTAGAACCATCATGACTATTTTCATTTAGTATGATTGTCTAAGATGTCATGAGATTGGTAACATTAGAATGAAAAGTAACTTCACAAGTTAACTTTCCTTTTATCATCACCAGTTTCAAACTCAAAAATATCACTATCATAATCTTAGCAGCTATGATCAATTTGCTTTTGGATGTGACAAATACTATCTTAGCATTGTGTTACTTCCTCTCTTGATAATGTATAATAGTTACCACTATTTTCATTTACATTTTTGAGAGGTTGAACTGTTGTGCTAGAACTTCTTATAGCTGCAGTTACTCAAACCCTCTCTTCTGGCAAGAGGGTGCAATTCACACATAATGGATCCAACTTGGACTCTTGGTTTAATGCAAAAGTCCAGTCTTAACCCGTATACAATTATACAAATCCCTTAGGTTTGGGATTCCTAAAGCCCATCCTCTCTTGCTTCTATTAGAAGTGAGACCCATGATCACACTGAAATCCTATTACCAACTGCACTCCATCCATAAAAAGCCTAGAAAATATATTCTGACTCTATTGCACTTAAAAGTCATCTCTATGAAATAAAGAACTTTGCTACTTTTAAAGAGGATTTCATTCTCTCTGGAGAAATGGATAGGGTCTGGAACTGATTTCATTTTCTCTGGAGAAATGGATAGGGTCTGGAACTGATTTCATTCTCTCTGGAGAAATGAATAGGGTCTGGAGCTGATTTTGACTCTCAGGTTCCCATGCTTATCTCAGCCCTCTGACCATAAATCCAAGCATCTCTCCCCCAACATACTGACTCAGTCTGCCACTAAATGAAGCGAACCGTGGCCTTGGCCACGTGACTATGGCCACTCTCATGATATTTGCTCTCCTGGCTTTAATCCATATCCAGTGCTTCATTTTCTCCTTTAAACACCTGATTCTCTTGCGTATCTCTCCATTCCCCTGCAGAACTCCCATGATCCCACGTAACTGAGAGACCTGCAATGGACGTTCAGGACATGACACCCAAACACATTTAAGACAGCTAGTCCTCAAGGGTGATTTCTAAATGGGAAAAGTTCTGTTTCTTCACCTTTTAACATGATTTTAATCAATACACAAGAGTTTCAAATATTGTGTGGTACCTTGAGATATTTAGACACCTGTGTCCATTAGGTAATGATCAAATCAGGACAATTCTAACTTATTTGCCACCTCAAATGCTTATAATTTCTTTAGGTTTTGAAAATAAAACCCATTTCTTTAAGCTAATTTTGAAATATGAATGGAATTACTGTTACTATGTCATTTTACTGTGTTATTGAACATTATGAGCTCATCTAGCCATCAAGCTGAAGTGGTATATCTTTAACCAAATCACTCTGTTACCTTTAACACTGCCTCCGGTCACAGGATTTGGGGAGAACATACTCAATCAGTTAATAGGATCTATTAGTAATCACTTATTTGATGGTTCTCAGTATGCATGAATATTGTGATATTGGATCATTTTGAAATGCCCCTTGGAATATCAAAACTTAATAGTTATTATGTATATGCATATATAAATGAAGTTCAAAATCAGTTTTGTCTAGTTATATGTGTACTGTTTAAACTAAATTTTTATTAATATTTCTAATATCTAATAAAATAGTATTCTGCTAGGTGTAATTTTTTTCCTAAACACTTTGACTGTCAAAACCTTTTATCTTGTGAGTAACAGACATTTTTATCATATGGAAAGAACAAACATCCAAAGCTCAGAATATTCCATTTCTCCTCTAGTTGGGAGTAATCTTATGGTTTTATTTTCCTCACACACACACACACACACACACACACACACACACACACACACACACATCTGATGATCCCTTTCCTTCATTATCTATCTCATTGAATTATTTATAGGAGATAAATTGAACTCACAACCAAAGTGAAACAGTGATTGAAATGAGCAACTTATTATAAACTCTACTCTATTTCCTCTGTGTTTTGGGGTTGTGACTGAAAGTGTCTGTTGTAACTTTCTATACTTCTTTCAGCATCACAACTCTGTGACTTCTGCACATACATATTTGAATGAAAAGATGTTTCTATGTGGTCACTAAGCAGTCCCTCCTGGGTACCGGCAAGCCCCAATGGGGCTGAGGAATAAAGTTGTTTCCCCACTCAGTTATTTAACAATGTTAGTTTGATTCCATTAATAGAAGAAGGCCCTACTATGCACAAGGCAAGCTAAAAATATTCAGAAAATATTTGTAGAGGAACAAATGACATGCTGCACAGTGTTCACGACAATACGTTTGAAGGGTTGGAAGTGAAAAGTACTGAGCTTTTTATCGCATCCCAATCAAATCAGAACACATCAAAACAGCTGGTGTTCTGTGACTTAGAATCAATCAAATCATTCTGAATCACCTCCTACTTTACTTCTCTTCACAGTTTCACAGAGGACATTAAAACCAGCCTGTGTCCTGGCTATCCAGTGAAATCCCTGCTTTGAGCTGTTAGGTTTTCACATTCCGTGCCAATGAGTAAAATGAACTGGTATGCATATATATGCATAGAGGCTGATGTGAAAATGGTGTTTATAATAATGCTACTTCATTTGTGTGAGATAAACCATATGCTCAAATAAAACGCTCTGGAAGTAAGATGAAGTTTTAAGGCTGTGCGATGGAATGAAGATTACAATACATCAAGGTTATTGTACATCACATATGTATGTGTAATTTAAAATTATGGCAATGATCACTATCTTTTAGAGTATATCACTAATATATTTATGATTATCCAAATAATGACATCATGACAATTCAAGATAAGTTAGTAAATGAAAGCACGATGTTCTTCTGTGTTCTGGTTGGTGACATGAGCTCTTCTCTTTGTTCTGATAGGTACTTCTTACACCATTCTTTGGCAAAAGCTATTCTGCACCGGTGACCCCTTCCAATCCACCACTCTACAAATTATTATCTCTGGACTTGCAGTTGACACCCTGCCGGAGGCAAGAGCTACTAAGCCAACTGGAACTGTGCCTTTTCCTTTGTCAAGGTTTTTTTCTTACACAGGAAAAAGAAAGAGAAAAAAAAGAGATGAAGTTGGGCAAAGTGGAGTTCTGCCATTTTCTGCAGCTGATAGCTCTTTTCCTGTGCTTTTCTGGGATGAGTCAAGGAGAGCTCTCAAGGTCCAGATCAAAGCCGTATTTCCAGTCGGGACGCTCCCGGACCAAGCGCAGCTGGGTGTGGAACCAGTTCTTTGTGCTGGAAGAATACATGGGCTCAGACCCCCTCTATGTAGGCAAGGTAGGCTTTCAGCCTTTCAGCCCCGCCATTGCTGATGGTTGGCGTCTGTGTTGCATGAAGAATGAATCACTTTTGCTTTAGGGATGGAAAACAGAAAATGAAGGAGTGTATAAAGTGTTTTGTCATTGGCTACTGTGGCTTTGTATTCAAGATATCATCTGGTTCAGTGTTGAGAAGCCATCATTTAGGGAGTGGCGTTTTTACTCTTAGAACAGGTGAGGTGTCCCGGAGGCCTGATTTTTTTTCTCAATATACACAGATTGAAAAACTATTGGTAGCAAAATTGGAATATTTTTCAATAAATGAGGAATAATGGGCTACTACAATAGTTGACATTCCAGAAGTTTCTTTTTGAGATACAGTACTGTGTAAAATATTTATGTTTATGTTATATGTATGCATATTATGTATTTATTATATATACATGTGATAGACCTTAGAAACAGAAAGTGAAATATATCTGTATATACTATCTATCTATTTATCTATCTATCTATGGATCTATCTACATACCTACCTGTCTATCTAATACAGCTTAGAAACAATATGAAATGATGGTTTCCAAATTATGAGCAATTCAGACCTATGTTTGTGAATCATCTTATGTTTATATATCTCTGGGTTTTGTTTGTTTGTCATCCTCTTTAATTCTCCTTTTAGTTATAGTGAATGTGAACAGAATGCATCAGAATGACATTACATAAATGATGAGCAGTTGTTTCATGGTCTAGTGGAGATTATTTTTCCTCATGTGTATTTGGACAAGAGAACTGGCTGAAGGAAGGGTGTTTCCTTCCCTTGCAATCTATATTAGATAATATTTGCAGTTCCTCCCTTTTTAAGATCTGTAATGGTTTTCTGAATTTCTCAGATTGGTGTTTAGTATAGTGAAAGTTTCCAAGGCAGGGCATATTCTGGAGAAATCCATATATTTATATTTCTGTTCTTCAATTTGTCATTTGAATGCTTCTGCTCCTTATAAAAAGAAGTAGAGCTAACTGATGAATTTATCCATAAATCAATTTTTCAATGCAAAGATCCAAGGAGAATCTTGGCTTTATTATTCTGTGGGCCAGATTTTCATTTGAACACAGTTTAAAATATTTGTGTGGATGGGAATCTACCTAACCTAAGTAATTTTTTATTATATTTATTATTGTCTTTTCTTTCTTTTCTTTTTTTTTTTTTTTTGGTCAGTTGTGGGCCTTGAACTCTGGGCTTGGGCACTATCCCTCAGCTCTTCAGCTAAAGGCAAGCTCTCTACCACTTGAGCTACAGCGCCACTTCTGGTTTTCTGGTGGTTTATGGGAGACAAGAGTTTCACAGACTTACCTGCCCAGGCTGACTTGGAACCGTGATACTCAGATCTCAGCCTCCTAAGTAGCTAGGATTACCTGCACTCTGCTATTGTCTTTTCTTATAGTACCTGTGTATTCTATAGATAGTGACTGGTACTACATTATAAACAGAAGATTTAATAAATTCATTTGTCTATATAGATTTATTTTTGGATTCATGCTAAAGAGCATTTTCTTCCTTAAGAAAGCATACATAAAACACACACACACTCTAATTTTTTCTAATGTTTTCTTAAGTTGTTATCTTGTAAAACAAAAACAAAAACTGAGAAATACGGTTATTCAGTCTCTTGACCAAGAATCTATCTCTTTATCCCATTCATTTCAATGGATATTCCATTCATTCAATGGATCATAATATACAATAATATACAATTAGTTCTTCTTTTTCTTTGTCAGTCCTGGGGCCTGAACTCTGGGCCTGGGCACTCACTGTCCCTCAGCTCTTCAGCTCAAGGCTACTGCTCTACCACTTGAGCCACAGTGCCACTTCCGGCTTTTTCTGTTATGTGGTGCTGAGGAATTGAACCCAGGGCCTCATGCATGCAAGGCAAGCACCACTGAGCCACCTTCCCAGCCCATAAAGTGGTATTGGCTATTAGGTGATACCAAGTTCTTGTGAAAATATAATCTTTTGTTGTTGTTGTTGTTGTTGTCATCGCCATCGTCGTTACTGGCTGTAGGGCTTGAACTAAGGGCCTGGGCACTGTCCCTGCGCCTCTTTGTGCTCAAGGTTAGACTACCACTTTGAGACACAGCACTACTTCCTGATTTTGAGTGGTTAATTGGAAAGAAGAATCTCCCAGGAACCTTTCTGCCTGGGCTGGCTTTGAACCCAGATCCTCAGATCTCAGGCTCCTCAGTAGTTGGATTACAGACATGAGCCACCAACACCTGGCTAAACTTTTTTTAAACAATAAAAAATATTCACAATAATTTGTTTTCAGAGTTGCTTGGGCTAGTTTGATGTTTTAAATATCAGTACAGTTACACAATTTTTGACTGTGCTTTCAATTATATTCAAGTAATAATTCAGAATGTTCACTCATCAATAATCTCTAATGTCTATTTGAAAGTCTGAAATTTGATAACCTTAATGTTATTTAAATTCCAAATGTGTATGATGTGATTGGACAACACTGTTTTGTTTTTTCAAGAAGTTGAATGCTTCCTTCATTATCTTAGTAAAATCTATACAAGAAGACTATAAGTTTGTATCTATTTGTCTTTGCATGCTGTGTATTCAGGTTTGACACAGATGTTCTCTAGGAAATATTCAGGATCGAAACGAATTTTTAAAATTTTCTGATGACAAAATATATAAAAAATCAAACTAATAATCTGAGAAGGTGGAAGGTGTTAAGATTTATAGACCAAAACATTTAAAAGTACCAGGTATTCCACTATCATTTTATGATTCTTTAGAATGAGGTGACAGACTGGAGAAGGTGAGATTAAGGACATGAGCTGATGATGTAATTATGTGTGTGTGTGTGTGTTGTTGTTGTTGTTGTTGTTCTGAATAAGCATCCCTTTGACTTTAGCACATTTCTGATTTCATATTTATGAGAGTACTGGGGTTGAAGTCAGGGCCTAGGTGTTGTTCTTAGCTTTTTTGCTTAAGGTTGGTGTTCTATTGCTTGAGCCACAGCTCTGCTTCTGGATTTTGGTGATTACTTGGAGATAAAAGACTCCTGGACTTTCCTGTTTGAGCTGGCTTTGAACAGTGATCCCTAGATTTCAGCTTCCTTAGTAGATGGGATTACACGTATGAGTCAACAGTGCCTGGCTTTCAGTACATATTTTGTTCCTTTGATATGTAAAATAAATGTATATTCTATGAGTATTTATTTAGTTAAAGGATCTGGCACCTAGAGAAAAAAAAGACAGAAAATGAAAGATTGTAAACAATGCTTTGGAGGAGTAGTGATGCAGTTGAACACAGGACAGGATTTTAGACAATGTACACTAATCTTTGTGTCCAATAGATTTTCACTGTTGGTCATGCAGACATGGTCTAGCTTCTTAGATAAATTTTCAAGTGTAGGTGAAAAATTTGATACATATTACTGCTTATTTTGATCAAGTAATGGAGAACATAATGTATGTCAATGTTTTCAGCTTTATTTCTGGCTCTACCACAGCCTTAGTGGTTGTATAACTCAGGGTAAATTGCCTAAATATGATTATGCTTTAGTCTTCACCCATAAATTTGGCATATTTATCATCTAATTCTGCTACTTAATAAGTGTTATCAAAATATTTGTAGTATGCATCTGACTAATTTAGACATATTTTCTACTTCATTACACATTATTTATAAATTGAGAATACAGACAATCTACTATATTTATATGTGAATTGCTATATGTGTGATGGATCAGATTACAGTGGGCAGTATTTTATACACTGAATAGTATTTGTATCTATCCCAATTAACTAGGAGACTGATATGTTGTGAGTGTATGAAGAAATTGAGAAATTGTATCTCAAAATTTTTGCAGGCTTTTAAATTTGGAATTGGTATTAAAGGCTTTTGCCCAACAAGATCAATTAAATGACTGGGGGCTGAATAAAATTTGGTCATTAACACACTGAGGATAATGAGGCAACAATATGTCTTTCAGCCATATTATCTGAGCTAATTCACTGAGATTGCCTGACATATTATAACCCAAGGCAGAATTAGGAAAGTCTGTTGAACAGGCAGAGATTTCTGTACTGTTGGAGACAATAGTAATCTGATTTTTACCACTGGGTTTCTATTCTTTTCTTGTCACATAATTTGGTGTTCTTTTGCTCCTAAATGTGTATATTTAAGGAAAGTCTTTAGATCTTATACTGGCTGAGTCCAAGAATCAGAGCTGTATTTCATAGTGGAGAGCACATATATTGACTTGGGATAGAGTTTGATCAGGTGCTTATCTTCAATGTGTAAGACTTAAGGACAGAGAAATTACATTGACTGATCTCTAATTCAAAGAATAATAGCCCCCTTTCATATTTTTATTAATGATTGGCACACCCTTTTTCTAGCCCTTCTTTGGGGAGTACAAAGTGGAAAGCCCTCTCTTCTCACCTTCTATTCTGTTGTTTCTTTCAAAAATATTAACCGTAAGTAGTTGTATGAAGGCTTTTCAATTTGCCATGTCAACCCATACATATAAGCATCTTGATCAATGCCACCCCTCCATCATTCTACCCCATCCATTCCTTCAAGTTACCGGGTTCTGTTGTCACAGCTGCACTTAGAGCATCCTGACTGTTCGCTCACCTTTCCTCTCGTGCTCTTCAGTGTACACAGGAATTCACAATTTCTTCCCATTCCATTGGTTCATAGTGAAATTTCCAGCCAATCTTTCCCTCACCTTCCTGTTGTTCATTGAAATTCCCCTAACCATTTGACAAAAAAAAAAAAAAAAAAACTCCCAACATAAGTCTATCAGACCACCCAGCCTCTGTTCCAGGCAGTAAATGGTTTTCTTTCCTAACTGTAATGTGTTACCCATGTACGGCTGTGCCCAATGCTGCTACTTTTACTGAGATGTGTGCTTGCTCTCTTCCTTGCTGTAATATCACCCCTGCCTTGTTTTTCTCTGGCCATCCAAGGAGAATTTATACCTATTTCTTAGTCAGAAATGT